TGTGGCTCACACCTGTAATTCTAACATTTTGGGAGGCTGAAGCAGACACATTACCTGAGGTCAGGAATCCGAGACCAGCCTGGCCAACATGGTGAAACCCAATCTCTAATAAAAATAAAAAATTAGCCAGGAGTGATGGCGCGTGCCTGTAATCCCAGCTACTCAGGAGGCTGAGGCAGGAGAATCCCTTGAAACCCGGCAGGCAGCGTTTGCAGTGAGCTGAGATCACATCATTGCATTCCAGTCTGGGTGACAAGAGCAAAACCGTCTCAAAAAAAAAAAAAAAAGTTAGATCTGTGTAGAGACAGGAAGAGAGGTGCCAGGTGTATTGTGCATAGAAAAAGAAATCCAGACAAACATAAATCAGATTGTTGTCTTTTCTTTTCAGCAGGGACCGCAGACTCTTGAGGTTTAGCTGCCCTCCTGCCTCAGCCTCCTGAGTAGCTGGGACCGCAGGCATGTGCCACCATGCCCTGTCTTTAGTTTCTTTATTTTTTTATTCTCCAAACATATTACTTTCTACTACTTAGCTCTGTTACCTTCCTATTTTTGTACACTGAGCATATACTTTACTAAGCAGAAAAAAAAGACCAAAAAAATCATTGGTCAGTTTTAAATCTTTTATATTCTTCTTAGAGAAGTAAAGTCAGGATAGTAGAGTTTTTTGTTTTTATATTTGTTTAGTTTTAGTTTTCCCAGAGAGTTGAAATATATTTTTGGTAAAAACTAAAATATAAGTATTAATTTGAAGACATTTCAGCTGTATGTATCAGATTAACTCAGCTAATAAGTATTTTAATACTTGCTTTTAGTGTCATATGCTAGGCACCATAGTAGAATTTTTAGGATACGGTTTTTATAGTGTAATCAGTTACAGCCTATGCTGAGTAGCGGAAATTCCTGAGTAGCAGATTGGGAAGGAGATATATAATAATCTCTTTTTTTTTTTTGAGACAGTCTTTCACTGTAGCCCAGGCTATAGTGCAGTGGCATGATCTTGGCTCACTGCAATCTCTGCTTCCTGGGTTCAAGCAATTCTCCTGCCTCAGCCTCCTGAGTAGCTGGGACTACAGGCATGCACCACCACACCCAGCTAATTTTTTTGCATTTTTAGTAGAGATAGGGTTTCACCATGTTGTCCAGGATGATCTCGATCTCCTGACCTCGTGATCTGCCTGCCTCGGCCTCCCAAAAAATAAATAATAATCTTATAATTTACTTAACATACATTTTCCTTAAATTGAAATTTTTGTCTTATATTTTGGGGATCACATTTCAGTGTCTAATCAGGAATTGAAAAATTGCTTTGTTTTAAAGTCAAATTGGAAAGGATATTTGCTCGTGGGTAGGACCACCAATAATAAATAATTATTTTCAATAAAAAAGAAGCTAGCATAAGGAAATTTTTTTTTTTTGAGACGGAGTTTCACTCTTGTTACCCAGGCTGGAGTGCAATGGTGCGATCTCGGCTCACCGCAACCTCCGCCTCCTGAGTTCAGGCAATTCTCCTGCCTCAGCCTCCTGAGTAGCTGGGATTACAGGCATGCGCCACCATGCCCAGCTAATTTTTCGTATTTTTAATAGAGACGGGGTTTCACCATGTTGACCAAGATGGTCTCAATCTCTTGACCTCGTGATCCACCCGCCTCGGCCTCCCAAAGTGCTGGGATTACAGGCGTGAGCCACCAGGCTGGAGTGCAGTGGTGCAATCTCAGCTCACTGCAACCTCTGCTTCCCAGGTTCAAGCAGTTCTCTGCTTCAGCCTTCCGAGTAACTGGGATTACAGGCACCTGCCACTATGCCCAGCTAAGTTTTATATTTTGAGTAGAAACAGGGTTTCACCATCTTGGCCAGGCTGGTCTTGAACTCCTGACCTTGTGATCCAACTGCCTTGGCTCCCAAAGTGCTGGGATTACAGGTGTGAGCCACCGTGCCAGGCCAAGGAAGATTTTTTAAATGATTAAATAGCAAATATTTTAGAATGTAAAATCTTGAAGTATAATTTCCTAATAAGTATGCCCTGTGTGTTTATTTACCACCTCAATTATCACTTACATTATTAAACAGTAAAAATTTAGGTATATAGTTGCTGTTTTAAAAAGTATTTTCTTGACACATCAAATTGATATTTTTTGTAATATAAGTTTTACTGAATAATTGTTAACTGTCTTTGCTTACATTTGATAAACGGTTGTGAATACACTAAATACTTAGCATGTTGGGGTTTAAGGCTTCTGAGTTCTAAAATTCATTGAAAATGATCTGGGATATTTTGTCTCTTATCTGAAAAGAAACAGAATTTTAATAGAAAGAACCTGGTTTAAGTATTATGCAGTTTTCTTCTGAAAACTCAATATTCTTTTTGTGATGGCAATTGCACTGTGATTGCCATATTTTCTTTACTTCCTATGGAAGAAGCTCTTATGCACTTGCAAAGAACATAAGGAGTCATGTCAGAGGTCAGCTATTTGAGTCCATTTTCCCACAGCCGCCTGGTGTGAGTGATCTTTTACTGTGTTTTAAAAAAATGGGCAAGGATTAGAGGGGATTAGAAAGAATATTACCCTCCTGAATATAGGCCCAAGGAACTAAGGGGAGAGAACCCAACCAGGCAGCAAATGGGCTTTGCTTGACCAGGACACAACCTCTGCTGCATTCCTTTAAGAAACTGAATGGGAAATGTTAAGTCCCCAAACTGGATTAGTAAATAATCTCATAGTTTGTGACATCTGCTAAAATAAATCGATGAGCAGACTACATTCTTAGACTTTGAGAAGAGAGCCAAAGGTATCAAGAGTAAGAGTAATTAAAGATGGGCATTAAACTTAGTAAGTGTTGGAAAGACACATTTTGTAAATGACAAAATTATTTTAGATATAATATGAGGAGTACATGTATATTGATTAAACAACTGAAGGCTTAAATTTTGAAACTGCTACAGCTTTTTGTTGTTAAGAGCCTTCCTGTCTTATTGCTCCTAGCAGTTTTACAAAGTGTTTCACAAATTCAGCTCTCTAATTTATGTTATCCCATTAGTTTGTATAACAACCTGAGGAACTAGAATTTGAAATGTGAGAATGTACCCTTTGAGACATCTCTGGAATTTTTTTTTATATTTTATGAGAGAAGTCAATATAGTTTGTATCTTATGACACAATTTGATATTAAATTGTTTGGAACCAAAGAGGTTATTTCAAACCTATTCTAGAAGGGCAAGTGCATTCTGGTCTCAGTCTTTGGAGATAGTATTTAGCTAACTAAATTTTTTTTTTAAAGATTTTGTTTTAAGTTGACTGGTAGGAAAGATGATGTACAAATAGTTAATTTTGTATCTTTCTACATATAATTAGTACATTTGATTGGTGTAATAACTGTGATTAGAATACTTTTGTTATAAATGATAATATTAGTACAAGTATTTTCATTAGGAGTTTAAGATAAAATTTTGGTTCATATCTGAAGAAAAATTGACAAACTATAACTTCTTTAAGAGGAGCATTAAATGCATCCTGCACTATGCGCTCTTGGTTGAATGCCTTTATTCAAGATGGCCCTGTGATTTGTTTATGTCCTCCTGTTGTTCTCCTCTCTCCCCAGTCTGTTTATCCACATTCTACCTATCTTTAAATATCAGCTCAAATGCCATCAAGTGGCTTATTTCTAGACCCTAAATCGTAATACTTCCTAAACATAGAGTTATCATAGGACCCAGGAATTCTACTCCATGGTATTTACCCAAGAGAAATGAAAACAAATATTCACTCTGAAACTGAGTGTTCATAACAACATTATTCATAATAGCCAAAAGCTGAAAACAACCAAATATCTGTCAGTTCATGAAGGGATAAACAGAACATATATACCATACATACAACGCAGTATTATTCAGCCATAAGAAGGAATGAGGCACAAGTACCAGTGCATGCTATAAACTGGGTGAACCATGAAAATATTATGCTAAGTGAAAGAAACCAGTCACAAAATGATTCTGTTTGTATGAAATATCCAGAATAGGCAAATTTATAGAGATATAAGATATGTTGGTAGTTGCTTAAGGGGTGTGGGGAATAGGGGAGAAGTAAGTTGTAACTAAAGGGTACAGGATTTTCTTTTGAAGTGACAAAAGCGTTCTAAAATTGACTTTGGCGATAGTTGGATATATCTCTGAATATACTAAAAATCCTTGAATTGTATGCTTTAAGTGGATGAATTCTAAGGCATGTTCTTTTACCTATAAAATGTAAGAGAAAAAAGAATTGAATGTTGCCACAAATATTGTTCCAAATTTGGATTTTGTAATTTTTTTTTTTTAGATGGAGTCTCACTGTCTCCTAGACTAGAGTACAGTGGCACAATCTCAGCTCACTGCAACCTTCACTTCCTGGCTTCTAGCAATTCTCCTGCCTCATCCTCCTGGGATTACAAGTGTGCGCCACCACGACTGGCTAATTTTGTGTTTTTAGTAGAGACGAGGTTTTATCCTGTTGCTCAGGCTGGTCTTGAACTCCTGACCTCGTGATCTGCCCACCTTGGCCTCCCAAAATGCTGGGATTATAGGCGTGAGCCACCGTTCCTGGCCTGGATTTTATAATTTTTATATTTAGTTCTTTCATTCAGTAGGAGATGGCTTAATTAAAAATTAAAAATAAAATTTAAAAATATATGTAATTTTTACATTTAATTCCTCTTTGGAAAAATAAATATTTGCTCTCACATTATCTCCTCAGCTTGAGTTTCCATTTTGTATTTAGCCAGGCCACACATATCCACTTATTACCTTATTTTTACCTATAGAAATATTCTAGTTTTTATAATTTGCATATAGAAGCATTTTATGCACATGTTATCAATAGAATCTTCATGTCATTTCAAATAGTTTTTTAAAAATCAGTTTGACTTTATAACATTTTGAATCTACATTTTTGTGGGTGTTTGAATTTAACACAATTTAATTTTTCTTTTTTCTGTTGTGTGTATATGTGCGTATGTTACTCTTTCAGTATTTATTAGAGATGAAAAGTTTAATTTTACCTCCAGAACACATTCTGAAACGGGGTGATAGTGAAGCAATTGCTTATGCTTTCTCTCATCTTCAGCACTGGAAGCGAATAGAAGGTGCTCTTAATCTGTTACAGTGTACATGGGAAGGCAGTAAGTATTCTTTTTCAAAAGTAACATTAATCTCTCTTAACTATTCATTGCATTCACAGGCAGTCTTTTTAAATGAGATTGTCTGGTTTCCATTAAGCTTTGTTGGTCAGATTGATTTTGAATGGAAATCAGTGGTGATATATTTGGTTTATTGGTGGAAATGCATAATGTTATATTGATCCCACAAAAGCAGAATGAGAAACTGTTATGGTATTCTGCTATATGTTCATTCAAGTTACGTATTTGTAAGGAAAGAAAAGGAAAAGTTGGCCCTTTGACTTACAAGCTTTTAAATGTGGTTGAACTATTCTAATATTTTAAAAATTGGTCTTTTTTTTGTTTTGTTTTCTTTTCAGATGTATATGACATGGAACTATTTTTTTCATAACTAATATCAACCTATTTTTTATTTTATTGTAAAATATGTAAAATTTACAGTTTTAACTATTTTAAGTGTATAGTTCAATGTCATTATGTACATTCACAGTGTTGTACAAACATCACCATTATCCATGTACAGAACTTTTTCATTATCTCAAACTGAAATTCTAAGCCCACTAAATAATAACTCCCCAGTCTCACCTCCTTCTAGCCCTTGGCAGCCACCATTCTACTTTGTCTATATGAGTTTGACTAGGTACCTTATGTAAGTGGAATTATATAATTTTTGTTCTTTTTTTTCTGGCCTTTTTCACTTAGCATGATATCTTTGAGATTCATTCATATTGTGTCACAATTTCATTTTTAAGTCTCAATAATTTGTTGTATGTATATACCACATTCTGTTTATCTATTCATCTGTTAATGAACAGATATCCATTAAACTTGAGTTGTTTTTACCTTTTGGCTATTGTGAATAATGCTGCTACAAATATTGGTGTATCTGTTTGATTTCCTGCTTTGAGTTCTTTTGGATATATACCCAGAAATGGAATTGCTGGATCGTAAAATTCTATGTTTAATTTTTTAAGGAAGCTCAGTAGTATTTTTCTTCATAGCAGCTGCACCATTTTACATTCCCAACCAGCAAGGCAGAAAAGTTCCAATTTCTTCACGTCCTTGCCAACACTTGTTATTTTCTGTGTTTTTTCTTTTTTTAAATAATAGCTATCATAATGGATGTGAAGTAGAATCTCATTGTGGTGGTGTTTTCCATTTCCCTGATGATAAGTGATGTTGAACATCTTTTCATGTGTTTATTGGCCATTCATAAATCTTCTTTGGATAATAAATTGGATTGTTTTAAACTAATTACTGGATCTCTTAATTGTTGCTTCTTATAACCACTAAGAAAGTAAAGAAGGTTAATTAAAACATTTTACCAGTTGGATTCACATAATTATTTTGAAAAGTACACCATAGCTATCAATAAAAATTCAAAAATAAATTCAGTTCTTATTCACTAAAATTGATTAACGCCCCCCTCAATTCCCTAACTTTACTCTGAGGTACCTTGGATATTGCAGCAGTTTACAAGAGTGCTGTTGAACATTTTAAATTTTCAGTGGAAACACAATAATACAATATTCAAGGCTAGGTACGGTGGCTCATGCCTGAAATTTCAGCACTTTGGGAAGCTGAGACCTCCCAAAAGGTTGAGGCTCTAGTGAGCCTCCAGCTTGGGTGATAGAGTAAGAACTTGTCTCAAAAATAATGATAATAATAATTTGACATCTGTCATATATCACTTAAACTATTAGCTCCAGACAGTTCACAGTTTCAACATTAGATCACTCTCTATTCCTTTCAATATTATTATATCTTTGCAAAACTGGAGTTTTGTTAGTTGCTGTGATTAAAACAAGTACCACACAAAAATCAGTGTGAAATAGGAAATGAGGATGGTAGTGTCCAATGTGATTCCAAGTTTTAGAAGTTGTGCAGTGTCCAATAGGCTCATACCTGTATTTCATTAGTAAGAAATTATGGTCATTTAAAAATGAAATCAGAAAATTGATTTATTGACTTTTTTCTTTCAATTTATGTATACTATTTTCCAAATAGCTGCTAAATTATTAGAACATAAATTTTTTAAGTTGTTTGGACACACTATTAACAAGTAAAATTGTCTTCATGTATTCTTGAACCAATTTGGTAACCTCTGCATTAACCATTTGCTAAAGGCCAGACACTCTGCTTGACAATGACAATAATACAACAGATGAGCCAAGTGTGGTGACTCACATCTGTAGTTCCACTAGGGAGGCTCAAGTGGGAGGATCACTTGAGACCAGGAATTTGAGACCAACCTGGGCAACATACAAGACTCTTGCTCATATATATATGTATACACACACACACACACACACACACACACAGATATGTATTTGTTTTTAAAGAAAATATTCATAAAATTGGGATTGTATATTTGAGAAACTGAATGTCTTTGAGTAATTCAACTTACTTTTGCTTTTTCTCCAGTAGTCCATAAGCTTCTGAAAAGCAGATATTCTGTCTCATTCATTTTGTATGTGTCTTCACTGCCTGGCACATTCTGCTTGGCAAATAGGTTTTCAATAAGTGCATGATTTTATTTAATTTTATTACTTTTTATGTGGAGATGGGATCTTGCTATGTTGCTCAGGCTGGTCTTTGAACTCCTGGCCTCAAGCAGTCCTTCCACCTTGGCCTCCCAAAGGAGCAGGGATTAGAGGCATGAGCCATAGTGCCCAACCATATGATTTATACTGTATTTCATGAATCATGATCAGTTATTTATTAGTGTTATCACTAAATTGCTCTGTGACTTTGGACAAATAACTGTGGTAAAATAAAGTCTAAATTATGACAAAAGTTTATAGAGCCAAACACAAAAGGAAAAACAAAAACCTTATCACAATTTTGATGACTACAGCAGGCCCTCAAGTAATGTCGTTTCATTCAACATTATTTCATTATAATGTTGATAAGAAAAAACAGAAGCAAAAAACCCAGATTCCCAGCCAGGGCCACTGTCTGTATAAAGTTTGCAAGGTATTCCCATGTCTGTGTGGGTTTCCTCTTACATCTCAAAGGTGTCCACATTCAGTTAACTGGTGTGTCTAAATTGTCTCAGTATGAGTGAGTGTGGGGGTGTGTGTGAGTGGTATACTGGAATGGTATCCTGTCCATTCCAGTGGGGCCGCCAGGATAGGCTCTAGGCATGCTTGACCCTGAACTAAAATAATTGGGTAAATAATGGTCCTGTTTTTATGAATCTTTCTTAAATGTATGTATAGCTCACATTTATTTCAATGTTTAATAAGTGTTTTGGATCTTTATTTAGAAGTTTGGTGATGTTTTGTGACCAAGAAACTTAACTCTTGTTTATATCAATTAGCCTATGGTAAAATGGGTTTTATTATATGACATTTTGCTTAAAGTCACAGTTTCCAAGAAACTATCTAAAACGTTAAGGATTTATGTACTTAGCTAATGGAATAGATCAATAAGGATTTCTTCTTTAACAAATCTACAAGAGGAGTTGGTGATAATCTAGATTGGGGTGGGCAAACTTTTTCCATAAGGTGCTAAATAGTAACTATTTTAGACTTTGTGGGGCATACAGTCTGGTTTTTTTTTTTGAGAGGGATGCTGGGCATACAGTCTTTTACACAGCTATTCAATTCTTATAACATTAAAGCAGCCTTAGGCAATATGTAAATGAATGGCATAACTGGTTCCAATAAAATTTTATTTACAAAAACAGATGGTGGGCCAGACCTGGCCAAAGGGCCATACTTTGGTGACCTGGATCTAGATTAAGATCTGCTCATAGAAAGCTTTGGTGAGGCTGGGTGTGGTGGTTCATGCTTATAATCCCAGTACTTTGGGAGGCCAAGGTGGGAGGATCACCTGAGGTCAGGAGTTCAAGACCAGCTTGGCTAACATGGTGAAACACTGTTTCTACTAAAAATACAAAAATTTAGCCGGGCTTGGTGGCACGCACCTGTAATCCCAGCTACTTGGGTGGCTAAGGAAAGAAAAACACTTGAACCTGGGAGGCAGAGGTTGCAGTGAGCCAAGAACACACCATTGCACTCTGGCTTGGGCAACAAGAGCAAAACTCCATCTCAAAAAAAAAAGCTTTAGTGAAACTCATGTGTGAAGTTAGGAGCCATTGAAAACTATTTTAGGTTGCCAATAGTAATGTCTAAACAGTTATACACATTGCAGTCATATGAAGATTTCTGTAAGAAGCAGAATTATTCATTCTGCTTTGGAATTATGAGTTGTGTTTGTAATGAGGAGACTGAAGCAAAGAAGGACCCAGCCAGTTTCATCTACTATTCCCTGTAGTTTTACTCTACCCAGACTAGGCTATTCACTACTATCTAAATCTTATCCTTCCCCTTATTTATTATTTTGCTCACTTTGTTTCTTGTATCTAAGACGTCTCACTAAAAAATAAAATAGTATGTGAAATTTTTATATGAATTTCCAAATCTCCAGAATAGCTTTGATCTATAGTATAGGATGGCAAATAAGACAGACTTGAGTATCAACACATGCTTTTTTTTCTCAGCTTTTAGAATGATTCCACACCCATTAGAGAAAGGACATCTATTTTACCCTTATCCTAGCTGCACAGAGACGGCTGATAGAGAGCTATTACCTCGTAAGTAAATATTTTAGTTTTCCTAAACTTAAAAATAGTTTTAAGTTTAGATTGTTTATCATGGTGTTCTCCATTTTAAAAGTACCTTTGGTTGAAATTCAAGACACTGTTTAAATACTATTTTAGCCACTTCTGGACATAGTTGTATAATTTAGTTTATTGAGCAAAAACACGTGTTAGATGCAACAAAGGACACCAAGGTTAAAGATACTAAAAAGAACTGTCGTCTTACAAACCTTGAGAAAAGAAACAATGCCAATCCTTCACAAACTTTATGGTACCAAAAAAACTATAAAACAACAGCCCTTATGAATATAGACACAAACATCTTCAACAAAATATTAGCAAACTGAATCCAGCAACATATAGAAAGGCTCATATACCATGACCAAATGGGACTTATCTCACAAATGCAAGTTTGAGTTAATATCTGAAAATGTAATGTACCGTGTTAATAGAATAAAGCACAATAGATCCAGGAAAAAAGCATTTGACAAAATCTGGCTCTCATTCAAGATAAATAGAAAAACTCTCAACAAACTACAAATTGAAGGGGACTTTCTCAACCTGATTTAAAAAAAAAAATCTCTGAAAAACCCACCGTTAACATATTTAATGGTGAAAGACTGAATGCTTTCCCCCTAAAATCAGGAATAAGGCAAGGATATCTGTTGTCACCACGTCTATTCAATATTGTACTAGAGGTTCTAGCTGGTGTTACCAGGCAAGAAAATAAATAAGAGGCTTTCATATTGACAAGGAAGAAGTAAAACTCTCTTCATTCACAGATGGCATGATCTTCTATGTAGGAAATCCTGAGAAATCCATAACATACTCTTAGAACTAATAAATGAATTCAACAGGGTTGTAGAATAAGATTAATATACTAAAATTAATTGTATGTCTATGTTCTAGCAATGAACAATCTGAAAATGGAATTTGGAAAACAATACCAATCATAGTATCAACAAAAAGAAAAACTACTTAGAAATAAATTTAACAAAAGAAATATAAGATGTGTACACTAAAAACTGTAAAATATTGCTGAGAGAAATTAAAAACTAAATGGAGAGACACTTGATGGATTAGAAGACCCAATTTTTAAATTTATATATTTATTTATTTATTTATTTATCTGAGACCTAGTCTCACTCTTGCCCAGACTGCAGTGCAGTGGCACAATTGCAGCTCACTGCAACTTGCACCTCTTGGGTTCAGGCAATTCTTGTGCCTCAGCCTCCCGAGTAGCTGGAATTACAGGTGTGTGTCACCAAGCCCAGCTAATTTTTGTATTTTTGGTAGAGACAGGGTTTTGCTATCTTGTCCAGGCTAGTCACACACTCCTGGGCTCAAGCAATCTTGAGCCTGCCTCAACCTCCCAAAGTGCTGCGCCTACAGGCATGAGCCATGGTGCCTGGCCCCAATATTATTTAGATGACAGTTCTCTCCAAGTTTATCTATACAGTCAATACAATCCATATCAAAATCCCAGGAGGGATTTTGCAAAAAAAAAAGTAACAAGCTTATTCTAAAATGTAAATGGAAAGGCAAAGGACCCAGCCAATCTTTATGAAGAAGAACGATATGAACAAGAGCAGTCAAAGAACTAGAAGGAGAACCAGAAATATGTAGGATTATGATTGCTGGTAGTGTTTCAGTCTAGTTCCTGCTTTTAGGAAGCCAGACTTCTCAAAAGAATGGTCTACACTTTGTGCCTTATCATCTGTTCTTTTTTTCTGTAAACTAGTAAATTTCTGTTTTAACTTCTCTTTTTATGATTTAGCTGAGAAGCAATCATACCAAAGGTTATAAACATTAGGACCATGTTTTCTTATATGATATAAGCCTGTGCTACAGTTTTTACAATACTGAGCCATTAGAACTTAAGTCTAGGAAGGAGAGTTGCAGGTTTACAGCCATCTAACTTAATTTGTTGAAAAGTTTAAATGGATAAATGAAAATTTAGTAGGAGAGAATATGGCAAATTGAGTATGCTGGTGTTTTTCTTTTAGTGTTTTTTAATTTTCCTTTATCTGCTAAGTGATCTCTTCCTTCTCTGAATTCTTTTTTCTTTTTTTTTGAGACAGAGTTTTGTTCTTGTCACCCAGGCTGGAGTGCAGTGGCGCTTGCCTCGCTGCAGCCTCCGCCTACTGGGTTCAAGCAATTCTCCTGCCTCAGCCTCCAGAGTAGCGGGGACTACAGGTTCGTGCCACCATGCCTGGCTAACTTTTGTATTTTTAGTAGAGACGGGGTTTCACCATGTTGGCCAGGATGCTCTCAGTCTCCTGACCTTGTGATCTGCCCACCTTGGCCTTCCAAAGGGCGGAGATTACAGGCATGAGCCACCATGCCTGGCTTTTTTTGTTTTTTTAATACCCTTCTCTGATTTCTCAAAGTGTTTTGTATATTTGTTTACTTCTTAATCTCCCCTTTTAGATTGTAAACTCCTTGAAGGTCAGGATTCTCTTTATTGTTCCTGGATGGAGTTTCTGCTCTTGTTGCCCAAGCTGGAGTGCAATCTCGGCTAATGGAACTTCCACCTTACGGGTTCAAGCAATTCTTCTGCCTCAACCTCCTGAGTAGCTGGGATTACAGGCACCCACCACCATGCCTGGCTAAATTTTTTGTATTTTTAGTGGAGATGGGGTTTCACCATTTTGGCCAGGCTGGTCTCAAACTGCTGGCCTCAAGTGATCCACCGCCTTGGCTTTCCAAAGTGCTGGTATTACAGGCGTGAGCCACTGCACCTGGCCATTGTTCCTGTATCTCTTATAGTGGTTACCATAAAAATTGGTATTCAATATATATTGGTTAAATTAATCAAATTTATTAATTTATTCTTATAAACATGGCTGGCACATTGTAAGTACTTAACTAAAGTGCCAGATATTAATACCTTTTTTCTGTCATCCTGTTCTGAACTCCTAAAGTGCTAACAAAGTTGATAAAAAGATGATGGATGGTCGGGTGCGGTGGCTCACGCCTCTAATCCCAGCACTTTGGGAGGCTGAGGCGGGTGGATTACCTGAGGTCAGGAGTTCGAAACCAGCCAAGTCAACATGGTGAAACCCTGTTTCTACTAAAAATACAAAAATTAGCCAGGTGTGGTGACATACGCCTGTAATCCCAACTACTCAGGAGGCTGAGGCAGGAGAATTGCTTGAGCCCAGGAGATGTAGGTTGCAGTGAGCAAAAATTGTGCCACTACACTCCAGCCTGGCCAACACCGTGTCTCTTAAAAAAAAAAAAAAAAAAAAGAAGCCTGGCACAGTGGCTCACACCTGTAATCCCAGCACTTTGGGAGGCTGAGGTGGGCTGATCACCTGAGGTCAGGAGACCAAGACCAGCCTAGGCAACATGGTGAAACCCTATCTCTACTAAAAAATAAGAAATTAGCTAGGCGTGGTGGCTCATGCCTGTGATCCCAGCTACTCAGGAGGCTGAGGCAGGAGAATCCCTTGAACCTGGTAGGCAGAGGTTGCAGTTAGCTGAGATCATGCCATTGCACTCTAGCTTGGGCAACAAGAGCAAAACTCTGTCTCAAAAAAAAAAAAAGATGATGGACAGTTCAGGCTTGGTAGCTGACACTTGTAATCTTGTAATCCCAGCACTTTGGGAGGCTGAGGGAGGCAGATCACCTGAGGTCAGGAATCTGAGACCAGCCTGGCCAACATGGCGAAACCCCATCTCTACTAAAAATAAAAAAATTAGCTGGGTGTGGTGACACGCCCCTGTAATCCCAGCTACCAGGGAGGCTGAGGCAGGAGAATTGATTGAACCTGGGAGGCGGAAGTTGCAGTGAGCCAAGATCTGGCCACTGCATTCCAGCCTGGGCGACAGAGCAAGTCTGTTTCAAAAAAAAAAAAGAGAGAGAAAGCTCTCGAAGGGAGGGCCTGGCTCTCTAGGAGGTCAAGAATGATTCTCAGTTCTCTGACTTGGATGAATTGGAGAATGGTCAATCTATCCTTTAGCAGTAGGAGCTGGTTTGGGAATAGGGGTTGGAGAAATAAATAAGTTGAAGCCTTGACTGTGTTGCCTGTGTAACATCTCGTCCATATGTACATGCATACCTGTATATGTGTATATATATGTACGTATATAGAGATTATATGCTTAAATATTTTCTTGTATAATCTACTTCACTCATATACATAGAAGTCTATATTTTACATCTCTAATGTATGATATATTTGTAGATTATGTATATATAATGTATATTATAAATTAAAATATTTATAATGAGTAAATGTTATAAGCATACTTTGGGTATAAATAATAGGGAGCAACTTCAAACTAGCTTAAACATAAATGGGAATTTGTTGGAAGAACACTGGGTTATCAGAGAATTCAAAAGTAACAATTATATTTGGACTTTATAAGGGACTAGAACTGGGGACTAGAAAGCCATTAGGATTTCCAGGAATCACTTATTTCTATATCTCTGTCCCTGGCTGCTTTTTTTGGTCTTTCCTCTTCTCACTTTCTTTTCCTCTCTCCCCAGCCCCATTTTCTCTTTCTGTGATCTGTCATTTCTGTTTCTCTCAGTGTATCCGCTTTATTCTTATATCTATCTCTTTACAGTTTGGCTTTCCGTTCATAGACAACATGTGGCCAAATTTGAGGCCCCTACAGCCCTCTGTTTACATGTCAGTTCAGGCAAACAATACAGAATGATTAATATCTCAATCGCACTTTTTCTTTTCTTCTTCTTCTTCTTTTTTTGAGACAAGATTTTACTCTGTCATGCAGGCTGAAATGCAGTGGTGTGATTATGGCTCACTGTAGCCTCACCTTCTAAGTCTCAAAAGATCCTCCCACCTCAGCCTCCTGAGTAGCTGGGACCACAGGCACGTGGCACCATGCCTGGCTAATTTTTGTATTTTTCTTAGAGATGAGATTTCACCATGTTGGCCAGGCTGGTTTTGAACTCCCGAGTACAAGTAATCTGCCTGTCTCAACAAGTGTTGGGATTACAAGCATGAGCCACTGCCCCCAGACTTAATCATACTTCTAAAACTTCTGGGAGAGAGAATCAGATTTATTCAGGTGTTTATTCCTTGTCCAGTCAGCTGTGGCCTAAGGACAGGATTAGGTTGTGTAAATAAAATTGCCAGTGGTCTTGATATCTCTTTCTCTGTACATCTCACAAAACAGACTTGGGAGTCATCATTTTCTAGATAGCAAAAGAAGTCCTAGGCATAAATCACTAAGGAAAACTGTACAGAGTGAGAACTGAACTGAAGGTGGAACCATGGATGCACAAAAATATCTAAGGAATGAGTGGCAGAAAGGGAGGCGAAGATTCAGTGAAGAGGTAGTCAGAGAGACAGGACAAGAACTAGAACTAGATATCCTAGAACTAAAAGGAAGAAGAAATTTCTAAGTGGGAGGAATATCCGAGGTAATAGGTAAGGTAAACACTAAGAAGAATCCATTGACTTTAGCAATTAAGGTGTCATTAATGAGAGAAATTTTATTTTCCTTCCTAAAATCGTGGTGGTGGTAGTTGTTCTTGTTGTCTTTCCATTTGAACAAGAACAAGTATATTTAAGGCAAAAGAATGGACCTTAATTATGGAACATCAATATGCAAGAATGTATTATATTAAGAAAATACATTTAGCCTAAAATAATGCCCTCCTTTGTAAATTATTACACAGGTTATTTAATATAAGGCCAATTTTACATAGTAATATGAAGAAAACCAGAGTTATTATCATGTTATCAAAGTCATAAGCTATAAGACCAAACTGCTTTTTGGCAAGCCTTTATTAATTCCAATTCCATATAGGGTGTAAACTCCAAAGGTAGGAGAGGGGGAGTATGCTGGGGGGTTTGTTTGATTATATGTTATGTTCTAAGAATATTTTTTCTGTCTCTGACTGTGGTAGAATGAACAAAATGTTAATAATATGGAGTTTTAATACCCATGAGTACTTAATATTTTTTGTGTTTAATTTTCCTTCAACCTTGATATGACTTACCACATTCTGGAATTTGCTTATGGACCTCATAAGTTCAGAGTTGAACTATTGCCCTAGTTCACATAGCTATTTAGTCATCTTTTATGCCTCCTGATAAATTTTTCTCTATAAGCCAGTGATGAAATTTAAACTTTCATTCCAAGGGAGTGTTTCTGTGCTAGTCAGTCATCCATTATTTTGATGTATTAGCCAAACATTGACTGACAAATGAATCTACAGAAAGCAATCCAAGAAGAAATAATTAGGTCTCTCCTACAGTAGAAAAATCTCCTATTTTAGGAAATTTCCTTACTAAAGCTATGTAGTTTTCTACTTTGTAAAGTGAGACTACTACTACTATCAGTTAGGGTTATTGAAAAGAATTAAATGAGCTAATATAAATTAAAGTTATTTATAAAACATAAAGTACTATATAGGTTAGTTAATATCACTAACTTTGCTGTCTTCTATTTCCCATCTTCTTGAATACCAGGGTTTGTTTCTCTTGATTTGAAGTTAGGAAGAAGTAGTTGGCCTCTCACGGCTGAGGGACAGGGCAAAGGGGACTGCTGACTGGTTCTTTGGGTGCTGAAAGTACAATGTTCTGTATGGTTTCTAATGTTTCTAACTTTTCAAAATTCAGTTTAGATGTGCTTTTACTTTAAACATGGCTCAAGTTTCTGGAAATTTTCTAGATTTTTAATGAGTTTATGTTTGGGTATATACTTTCTGAATATAGTATAATAAAAATAAAAATATAGTTGTTGAAGGAAGCTTAGATGTAATCTCTGTGAATCATTATGTTTTAAAAGTGAAATTTATAGCTGACCTTGGTTCAGCACAAAATTAGTCATCCCTTACTAATGCAGGATATTACGTCAGGAATTCCTGGGTTAGCATCCAGCCCTAAGCAGAGAACTTCCCGGCCTAATGAAGTCCCAGAACAGCTCTGAGTTTAGCAGACATTTATTGAGCACCTACTGCATGTTAGGTACTCTAATAGGCTCAGCTCAGTATTGTTATTGAAGTATTTTCAAATTTCAAATAAAATAGAAATACTTGAGTATAATGGATAATAAAATATCCAATCACTAGAAAAATAATAACTGAGTACATGTGTAAATATAGTAATATAAGAAAATTTATTGTCAGAATCCTAGGCCTTTGATTTTCTAGTTTAGTTTTTTTGTTTTTGTTTTTTTGGGATGGAGTCTTGCTCTGTCGGCAGGATAGAGTACAGTGGTATGATCTTGGCTCACTGTAACCTCCACCACTTGGGTTCTTGCAATCTTCCTGCCTCGGCCATGCAAGCAACTGTGACTACAGGTGTGCATCACCATGCTTGGCTAATCTTTCTATTTTTAGTAGAGACAGAGTTTCACTGTGTTGGCCAAGCTGGTCTCAAACTCCTGACCTCAAGTGATTCACCCACCTAAGCCTCCCAAAGTGCAGGAATTACAGACATGAGCCACACCATGTCTGGCCTACCTACTTTAGTTTTTACAGTGCTTAATGAAATGCCACATATAGAAAAACATTAATAACTAGGTAAAATTATTAATTATGGTTCTAGGAAATCTCCAACGACCTGTCTGCCTCTTTCTACTAGTCTTTGAGCTCCCAAAGAACAAGAATTAATAACAACTCAATGTCAGGCGCAGTGGCTCACACCTGTAATCCCAGCACTCTGGGAGCCCAGGCAGACAGATCTCTTGAGGCCAGGAGTTCAAGACTAGCCTGGCCAACATGGCATAACCCATCTCTACTAAAAATACAAAAAATTAGCTGGGTGTGGTGGCCTGTGCCTATAATCTCAGCTACTTGGAAGACTAAAGCACGACAATCACTTGAACCTGGGGGCAGAGGTTTCAGTGAGCCAAGATTACATCACTGCATTCCAGCCCGGGCAAGAGAGTGAGACTCTGTCTCAAAAAAAAAAAAAACAAAAAAAACCCAGCAACTCAAATTTATGTATTTAGAGAAGCTCTTCACCCAGGCTGGAGTGCAGTGGCATGATCATAGCTTACTGCAGCCTCAAACTCCTGGGTTCAAGCTATCTTCCCATCCAGCCTCCTGAGTAGCTGGGACTACGTATAGGCACACACCACCATGTCGGGCTAACTTTTTAAAAAAGAGATGGGGGTCTCAATGTTTTGCTTAGGCTGGTCTCAAATGCCTGGCTTTAAGCCATCCTCCTGCTTTGGCCTCCCAAAGTGCTGGGATTACAGGCGTGAGCCACCACCCGTAGCTACAACTCACATTTATTAAGCACTTAAAATGTTCATCATTACAACCCTCTATAGCAACTTCTAGAGGGTTTAGCAACTTATTGAAGATCACATAGCTAATAAGTAACAAGTTTTTTTTCAGAATCACCTCAGCAAGACTTTGTAATCAATGCCCTTTCCCATGATGCCATCCTGTTCCCACACCCAGCACAGTTGTCTAGCTATTTAGATACGCTGTTGATGTTGGGATAAATAATGGATGACCATCTTCTACCTTGTTTAGCCAGAGACTTTTCTTTCAAACATTTTTTTACTTTTTAGTTTTTAAAAAAGGATTTCATTTGAAAAGATTAAGACTTGTTTACATGTTATTCGGAAATAAAATTGATTCTTACCAATTCTCCATTGCAGCTTTTCATCATGTTTCTGTTTACCCAAAGAAGGAGCTTCCTTTGTTCATCCATTTCACAGCGGGATTTTGCTCTTCTACAGCGGTGATAGCCGTTCTCACACACCAGCTTCCTGAAATCATGGGCATTTTGTTAAAGCTGTAAGTATGATCTCAAGGACTTGTGTAGATTATTTGTAAAACACACAAGAAACCATCTCTGATCTGCCTGTGCTAACCCAGCTGAGCAGTGGAAGATATTTGTTGTGAATTAAAGGAATTGATTTGTAAAGTTGCTGCCATAACTGTGTCAAACATAAATTTTCAGTGATTTGAGCTACTTCTGCTGCTTAAAAGTTTAAAGAATACAATATAAGATTATAACAATATGACATTATAAAGTTTGCTCTTATAGATCACTTATGGTGATAAACAGCATGTGTTACTATCTTTGGTATTTTTTTAAATTCCCTGTTTTGTAAACAAACCCTTCGATGTTTTTCATTTAAACGCAATCATTAGTTCTCAGGATTTGCTGAACTTTAAAGTCAAGAGCACAACAAGGATGGATAATAAGTACCTAAGGCAGGGGAAGGATGAGACATTTGTCCCTAGGTACAGAGTGTGCCTATGTCTCAAAGGTTCTCCAAGTTATTGTGTCTGCTTGTTCTTACTGACCTTCCCCAGACATGGATTACAACCACGTATAGATCTTTATTTTCACTTTTACCCTTTAGTTTTGAACTGCTTCGCCATTTCCTGAATCAGTTAATACTTGAGGACTGACATTAGAGTGGGTATCCCATCACTATTTACTCTTTTTATTTATTTATTTATTTTGAGGTGGAGTTTCGCTCTTGTTACCCAGGCTGGAGTGCAATGGCGCAACCTCGGCTCACCGCAACCTCCGCCTCCTGGGTTCAGGCAATTCTCCTGCCTCAGCCTCCTGAGTAGCTGGGATTACAGGCATGCGCCACCATGCCCAGCTAAATTTTTGTATTTTTAGTAGAGACGGGGTTTCACCATGTTGACCAGGATGGTCTCGATCTCTTGACCTCGTGATCCACCCGCCTCGGCCTCCCAAAGTGCTGGGATTACAGGCTTGAGCCACCGCGCCCGGCCGACTCTTTTTATTTTTGAGACAGGGTCTTGCTCTGTCACCCAGGCTAGAGTGCAGTGATGCGATCTCACTGCATCCTCCACCTCCTGGGTTCAACAGTCCTCCCACCTTAGCACCCTCCCCGAGTAGCTGAGACTATACGCACATGCCACCATGCACAGTTACTTTTTGTGTTTTTTTTTGTAGAGACAGGGTTTTGTCATGTTGCCCAAGCTGGTCTTGAACTCCTGGGCTCAAGTGAGCCTCCATGCCCAGTAACTATTTACTCTTTTGTATAAACTTACTAATTAATGTCACTGACTCAAAGTAAAATTAGCAAAGATAATTGCCTTTAAATCTCTAAAGTCTGTCTCAAAAAAATAAAATACATCTTTCTTGTACATCTTTGCATTTCTACCAGGTAATAAGAGTTAAAACCCAAAAAGAAAATGCTGATTAATATATTCCCCAAAATAAAAACACTGAGAACCATGGACAAACTAGTCCTTACTTGGTAATGTATTTTCTGTAATTTTCTCTATATGCCTCCATTCTAACTTGTTTCCTCAGAGTTTCTTTTTCGGCCTTAAGAATAGTTTATTTTGTGCCTTTTTTCTGGCACCAGTGGTAAGAGCAGTGGTTTCCCTTTTTCCCTGAAGGTCAACCATATAATGTGTTAAGTTGCCACTGGCTGTAGGCCTAGGAGTCTGAGTCTGCACTTGATTCTGGGTCAAACTTCAAGAAGAATGACTTCCCACTGTTGTTCAGGGAGGATAGTTATTTGGTTTGGAAACTGACTATTCTATTTCTTTTTGGTGTAAAATGAACACTTAGTGATCATACTCATAACTGTTATTTGCAATAGTGCTAATAGTTGAGTGAGTGCATCTCAAACTGAAATGACCTTGCTATGTAATCTGGCATGGAATAAAAATGGACTAGAAAGAGAATTCCATCCATTTAATAGCGGGAAAGAAAAAGTGCAACTGTGTATGTGAGATCACAGGCAAGCAATGGGAGAGATGATTCTTGGATTTGTCTGCGGCAAGAGGAATGGGAAGAGAGTGAAAGAGAGCAAGGAGGGAGATCTAGAATCTGGAATAGATATATAGCAACTGTTAATAGTGTATTTCCATGGGGTACTAGCCACAATTAATGTTTATAGTTTCTGCCTTTAGCTAGGCTGTCACTAATGGCACCAGCAGAACCTTTTTATTTTTAAATTTTAAATTTTTTTAATACTTTAAGTTCTAGGGTACATGTGCAGATCGTGTAGGTTTGTTACGTAGGTGTACATGTGCCATGGTGGTGGTTTGCTGCATCCATCGCCCCGTCATCTACATTAGGTATTTCTCCTAATGCTATCCCTCCCCAATCCCCCCACCCCCTGCTATTCCTCCCCTAGCCCCCACCCCCCAGGCCCTGCTGTGTGATGTTCCCTTCCCTGTGTCCATGTGTTCTCATTGTTCAACACCCACTTATGAGTGAGAACATGCAGTGTTTGGTTTTATGTTCTTGTGTCAGTTTGCCGAGAATGATGGTTTCCAGTTTCATCCATGTCTTTGCCAAGGACTTGAAGTCATCCTTCTTTACGTCTGCATAGTACTCCATGGTGTATATGTGCCACATTTTCTTTATCCAGTCTATCATTGATGGGCATTTGGGTTGATTCCAAATCTTTGCTATTGTGAACAGTGCTGCAATAAACATATGTGGCACTAGAAGAACCTTTATGATTACATAGCCTAAGTTCCTTAGCACTCCTCTAGCAGAGACTGAGGATGAATAATTACATATTTTAAAGTGGAAGCTTCTTTTTCAGGCCAACAGTTATTGATATACTTTGGATTTCCAAGGGCAGGTTCCATGTAAGAGTTAATGGGAAATGACTGTGATATGGGCAGTTTCCAGCTTTTTTTTTTTTTTTTTTGAGATATAGTCTTAACTCTGTCACCCAGGCTAGAGTGCAGTGGCGTCATCTTGGCTCACTGCAACCTCTGCCTCCTGGGTTCAAGTGATTCTCCTGCCTCAGCCTCCTGAGTAGCTAGGACTACAGGCACACACCATAACGCCTGCCTAATTTTTGTATTTATAGTAGAGATGGGGTTTTGCCATGTTAGGCTGATCTCAAACTCCTGACCCCAGGTGATAACTCACCTTGGCCTCCCAAAGTGCTGGGATTACAGGGGTGAGCCACTGTGCCCTGCCAGTTTCCAGCTTCTAAACACAATGTGTAAATGCCTTTATAGACAGATAAACAGCAAGGAAACTAGAGGCTTAAAATACATTTCTTCACTACTTATAGAGTGTGCTCTATGCAGATGCTTTAGGAGCATTACCATCAGGCAGGAGCTCATTAAAAATGCATAACCTCAGGCACCACTGCAGACCTTCTGAATCAGAATCTGCATTTTAATAAGATCCCCAGGTGATCTTACACACACACACACACACACACACACACATTTAAAGCTTCAGGAAACTTGCTGTACTCTAGCCCCAACATGAAGCATTTAGAACAGCAAGATAGTGCGGCCTTGTCAAGGAGGAGGCAGCATTGTTGAGTGGTTATGAAATAGACTCTGGGAGGCAGGCTGCTTTGCTTTAAATTCTAGCCTTGAAATATTGCTGTACAATCTCAGGTAAGTGACGTAATTTCTCTATCCTTAGTTGGAAAATGAGAATAATACTACCTCTGATGGGTTTTGGTGAGGGTTAAATGAGTTTGAAATACTGAAGTGTTAGGACTGCAGTAAAAAGTAGGTGAGTGTTAGCTGTCGTTGCTGCCTTCATTGTCAGCATCAACACGAAAATACAGCAGTAATGGGAAACCCTACCCCCATCTTGTTTAAAGGAGATATGTCCTAACAGGAAGCTCAAAATGCATTTTTTCCACAGACACTACAGTATAAATGGTGGTTGGGATCATTTTGAAAACACTATTAGTAGGCCAGGTGCGATGGCTCTCATGCCTGTAATCCCAGCAATTTGGGAGGCTGAGGCAGGTGGATCACTTGAGCTCAGGAGTTCATGACCAGCCTAGGGAACATGGTAAAACCCCATCTCTACCAAATATACAAAAAAATTAGCCAGGTGTGGTGATATATACCTGTGGTCCCAGCTACTCAGGAGGCTGGAATGGGAGGATTGCTTGAGCCTGGGAGGTGGAGGTTGCAGTGAGCCAAGATCTCACTATTGCACTCCAGCCTGGGCAACAGAGCAAGATCCTGTCTCAAAAATATATGTGTGTGTGTGTGTGTGTGTGTGTGTGTATTAGTACTCTGCCTCTGGTACATTATGTGTATGTGAAATATAGAAAGTGGAGAAATGTGGTGGCTCATGCCTGTAATCCTAGCACTTTGGGAGGCCGAGGCAGGCAGATCACTTGAGGTCAGGAGTTTGAGACCAGCCTGGCCAACATGGTGAAACCCCATCTCTATTAAAAATACAAGAATCAGCGGGGCATAGTGGCAGGTGCCTGTAATTGCAGCTACTGAGGAAGCTGAGGCAGGGGAATCACTTGAACCCAGGAGGTGGAGGTTTCAGTGAGCTCCACATGGCACCAATGCACTCCACCCTGGGTGACAGTGAGACTCTGTCTCAAAAAAAAAAAAAAGAAAAGAGAGTGGAGCAATGTTTCACGTTCTAGGTATTGATTAAACTACCTTGCAGAACAGAGCCTGTTGGTAAGTTGCAAACTGTCTGTGTTAGGATTTCCAGTTAACTCAGATATTTCATAGCCAAATAAAGTAGAAATTGGTGAAGAATCTTGTAGACATACTTGTTCTATTTCAGAAGACAGACTTTTAAAAAATTTCCTAAACGTCTTTGTTATCATTATCTTTTTCTCATCTGATATCTTTTTGTAAGAGCTCACATGCCAGAGCAAATTGAATTTGAATTTCTTAAAATGTATTTGTTACAAAAATTGCATTTTTGTGAGGCCAGGCACTGGGGACATTTTAAATAACTCTCACTGTACATCAGATTTAGAGAAATGAAAGGAAATGGACTAGACTGGCTAATGGTTTTAGTGCCTCTTCTTTTGCATGGTATCAGACTATGTGGACTAGACTTCATTTTAGCAAGTTAAGATTTTTTTCTCCTGGCTGAGATGAAAACCTAGTCTGACATTAGACATAGAGCAATGAAAAAGTGTTGCATAAATCCCTGGAGATGTGGAATGTGCTTATATCAGAGCTGATATTCTCTAAGGCCAGAATTCCTGAAAAAGGAAAAATTGCTTTTAAGTGGTAGGTCATTTTCTCACCTGCTTTGAAGCCTGCTGGATTAAATATGAGAGTTCAAAGTAAGGGTAGCCAGCAAACCAACTGAACTGGAATCTGATTCTGCTTATCTGAAAGGAGCTTCTTTATTTAAGAACAACACTGCCCTCTCTTTAGAGAACCAATCTTCTGCTCTGGCCCCTTTCATTTCTCTTTTGCAAGAAAAGTGTTCTTAGCAAGGCTTGGGAGGGTGTTATCACAACAGTAAAAAGACTTAAAGATGATCTTGGGGGTTTCACTAACTTATTGATAAACTCAGGCTTGTGGTATGTGACTTTAGTGTTTTGAATTCAGAAGTGTGTTTAAATATAAAAGTCTCTAGTTGGGGCTGGGTGCAGTGGTTCACGGTTGTAATCTCAGCACTTTGGGAGGCCAAGGCCGGCAGATCACTTGAGTTCAGGAGTTTGAGACTAGCCTGGCCAACATGGTGAAACCCCGTCTCTACTAAAAATACCAAAAAATTAGCCAGGTTTGGTGGTGCTTGCCTATAATCCCAGCTACTTTAGAGGCTAAGGCAAGAGAATGGCTTGAACCCGGGAAGCAGAGGTTGCAGTGAGCCGAGATCGTCCCACTGCACTCCAGCCTGAATGACAGAACAAGATTCCATCTCAAAAAAAAAAAAAAAAAAAAGTTCCTACTTGGGTTTTAACTAAACAGGGTAGTCTTTGCAATTCTGGCAGAGAAGGGTATTACAGGTAAAGAGAGGAATCAGAGATTCCCAAATAAATTGTCCATTTTAGTATAGCAAAACTTTGTTGAAGTTTATTTTACTGAACACATATTGTAGCTGTGCTGGAGTGGGAATGGGCTTTGTTACCACATACTTCTTCTAATCTTTATGTGGGAAAATGTGGTTGGACATGCCAATGATGAATTTCTGAACAACTCATAATTGGCTGGCTCCACTGTAACTAGGGCCTTAAAATCTGCTTGATTAATTCTTTAAGGACTACATTAGCCAAGTTGCATGATTTCCAAAGATATAGAAGGTCAGATGTTACACTAACAAAGAACCTCTCTACAGAATGTCTCACTGGGGTTTCTTCAGCCCCTTCCCAATAATAATTAAAATTTTTCTTCCCAAATTACATTTTTAAAATAATAAGCAGATATAAATGCCAAGTGTCTTTCACTGAAAACTGAACAAAACTTTTGGGAAGATTTGTCCACTATTCTTACTATTTTTTTCAGGGAAAAGGTTGATCTTCAGAACTGAGGGAGTTGATAAACAATTATAAATATATACTAATGTACACCAATTGAAGAATATGTGATTGTTTTTAAAGGTTCTTAGTTTTCCATTATTGTTACCTGTGACATGATAGTTGTATACTTCTTTATTAAATACCTAGGGTCACATTCAGAAAGTAAATTAACAATTAAAATAAATTTCTTCTCTTTGTTTGAAAATGGATTACTTTCAAAGCTATGAGATTTTTTTAGTTCATAAGAACTGAGGTAGTTTTAAAACGTTTTGAGACATAACTAAACTTACATTTCTGTAAAATATTCTAAGGCCAGGCACGGTGGCTCAACCCTGTCATCCCAGCACTTTGGGAGGCCGAGGCAGGTGGATCACGAGGTCAAGAGATCGAGACCATCCTGGTCAACATGGTGAAACCCCGTCTGTACTAAAAAAAAATATAAAAAATTAGCTGGGCATGGTGGCGCGTGCCTGTAATCCCAGCTACTCAGGAGGCTGAGGCAGGAGAATTGCCTGAACCCAGGAGGCAGAGGTTGTGGTGAGCCGAGATCTCGCCATTGCACTCCAGCCTGGGTAACAAGAGCGAAACTTCGTCTCAAAAAAAAAAAAAAAAAAATTCTGTAGCCATGCTATTTCCACAGTTATAAACCTGAGTTGTTTGCCAGAAAGAATACAGATAATAAAATAAGCCTATGTGTGACAGGTCAAAATTTTTAAATGTTTACATGTTTGTTCCACTGTTGATGCCTCTAAAGTCTTTATTTGGGCAGTTGCTCATGTTCAGTTTTAATTTTCTTTACTAACTGAGACTTTGAATGAAGAGAAAAGCTGTTCTCTACTTCTTAGAAGGGTATTTCTCATGTTTCATCCTTAGTTTTCTCCTTCAAAAAGAACCAACTAAGAAATGTGAAATTGCTGGTATTATTAATCTAGATTTTCTAAGCACTGAACTCTTCTAAGGGGGAAAGAAAATAATAAAAGTTAGGACAGTGTACTTTTTTTTTTTTTTTTCGAGATAGGATCTCACGCTCTCACCCAGGCGGGAGTGCAATGGTGCTACTTCAGCTCACTGCAACCTCCACTTCCCGGGCTCAAGTGATCCTCCCACCTCAGTCTCCCAGGAGGCTGGGACTACAGGTGTATGCCTCCATGCCAGACCAATTTTTAAAAATTTTTTATAGAGATGGGGTCTCACTTTGCTGTCCGGGTCTCCAACTCCTGAGCTCAAGCAATCTGCCCACCTCAGCCTACCAAAATGCTGTGATTAATAGGCTTGAGCCACCATGCCCAGCCATGTCAATATACTTTCTATTATTATGATTATTATTTTTGAGACAGAGTCTGCCTCTGTTGCCCAGAATGGAGTGCAGTGGCATAATCTGGGCTTAGTGCAATCCCCGCCTTCCCAGCTCAAACCATCTGCCCACCTCAGCCTCTCAAGTAGTTGGGACTACAGGCATGCACCATCATGCCTGGCTAATTTGTGTATTTTTGGTAGAGACAGGGTTTCACCATGTTGCCCAGGCTAGTCTCGAACTCCTGAACTCAAGCAATCCACCCGCCTTGGCCTCCCAAAGTGCTGGGATTACAAGCGTGAGCCACTGTGTCCAGCCAACAATGTACTTTTTAATGCATGTGTATATCCTTTCCTCAGGGTTTAATTCCATTTTAAAGTTTGTAGAAAGCATCCTTTTTTCCTGTTAACATGTGCCTGTCAAGTATGAAGTTCACAGAATTTATTTCACATATGTTTAATCATCTTTTTCCCCCTCAAAGTGAAAATTTCATTGCTAAAGTTTAGGGCATCATGTCACTAACTGCTACTGATATATTTATTGCTTAATCATTAGCACTTGGGATATATGGAGTGCTTAGCAGTTTTTAGAAGAGCTATGCTTACATATTGATGTAAATCACTTATTCCAAACCCATTCTTTTAGTGATACTGTAATTCACAATAGGAAACACTGATATTTATTTTAGAAAACATCTCTATCTTGCAGACCCAGCATAGTCCTCTAAGTTGGGAGAATCATGGTGTACAGAAGAAAATTATAATATTGAGGAATAGTTTTTAGCTTTTTTTTTTTTTGGTGGAGTTTGGCTTCTTTCCCCTACCAATCAAATTGCTAATGCTCAAAAGAACTAAATTAGTAAGACTACGTAATATAGTACAATTCTAAACCAAGAGTAACTATCTGTTGACCCCGTGATCCACCTGCCTCGGCCTCCCAAAGTGCTGGGATTGCAGGCTTGAGCCACCGCGCCCGGCCCTTATCTTAAATAAATAGGTACATATATACATATCTAAATCAATTACTTAAAAATAACGCCGCCGGGCACGGTGGCTCATGCCTGTAATCCTAGCACTTTGGGAGGCTGAGGCAGGCGGATCACGAGGTCAAGAGATCAAGACCATCCTGGCCAACACGGTGAAACCCCGTCTCTACTAAAAATACAAAAATTAGCTGGGCATGGTGGCACATGCCTGTAGTCCCAGCTACTCGGGAGGCTGAGGCAGGAGAATCGCTTGAACCCAGGAAGCAGAGGTTGCAGTGAGTTGAGATCATGCCACTGCACTCCAGCTTGACGACAGAGCAAGACTCTCTGAAAAAGAAGAAAAGAACAGACATTTGCTTTTCTGTCTTTTGTACTGGTTCATTCCAATGTCATTCCTCTTCTTGCTAGTTAGCTACTTAAGAAAGAATGCTGTTTGGTCATTTATACTACATGCTCACGTTACTGCATAAAGGACTCCAGCCTCTATAAGTGCTTAAAATGTACAGTAATACTAAAGAAAATACTAAAGTAAGCCCTGGTTTGTAATGATTCAGAGGGAATTTGACTCTCAAGTTACCTTTTTAAAGTTTTAATATGAAGTGTAAATGTATACCTTATGTTTCAATCAGTCTTATTTCAAAATCGAAGGGCAAGTTTGTAAAGGACTATAGGGTGAAGTTAAACTGAACATAATCAACTTTTGGTCTAAAATATAACCTATAAGTTTTTTTCCTAAACTAGGAATTTTAGGTAGCAGAGGTACTTCTAGTAATTGTATCAATAGGTAGGAAACTTGGGTGTATTCCTTAATGTTCATGAGGCCTCCATAAAATATTGGATTTTCATTGGGTTTTCGATCTGAGTTTGAGGAAATCAGAAAATTATTTTTGTTGTGTAGTAACATTAAGATTGTCTTAGGTCCATCTTGCCAGTAGCCAGATTCAAGGAGAGAAATTATTTGGGATTCAATAATAGGTAACAAAATTAAGATTAGGATATTCAGAGAATGCAAATCACATAATCACCTTCTGACCTCACCCTGTAATTTCAAGCATTCTGGAAATAAAAATGTGTACGTACTGTTCAAGAAAAGGGCTTGAACAGAAAAGGGCTATGTTTCCTTTAAACACCCTTGCAGATGACCAATGTGACATATAAAGATGCAGCTTAGGGGACAATTGGAGAAGGGAGCACATTCTCACACTCTTTTTTTAGGAACATGCCAGCTCTTTTCTTCATTTATTCAATACGCTGGAGTCCCAGTTTCTTTCTGAAGCCAGAATTCATGCTTTTACTCCCAGGTAGCAGCAGCTTTACAATTAAATTTTAATCCAACAATGTTGTTAGACTCCTATCAAGAGTACAGCCACAGCTGTTCTTGGCAGGCAAATACATTGCTGGTTTTCCTTTAGTCACAGTGAGGTGGAAGAATGTTCTCTGGCTAGGGTGTGGACGAAGACACTTTACTAATCTTATGCATAATTCATCCTTGGTTGCTGGGGCACTCAAAGTTGAAACTTTGCCCTCTGACAAAATTCAGCTGGATGTTTTTTACTTATTAGACTCTGATCCCTTTAGGGGTTTAGCCCTTATTGGAAGCCCAGGGATTGTAATTCAGCTAAGCCCTAGCTATGAAGACTTTTCTTACTAATGTGCTCTTGGTGAATTTTAGCTATTGTAATACCACCTTTAAAAAAACAAAACACAAACTGCAGTGGAACATGCAGTTCAGAGAGTCCTAGATACCTGAAAAGAGTCTTCCTTGAATGCTGGCTTATTGAATGGAAGGACTCCAATAGAGCCTGTTTTGATTTGTTTTCAAAGTTTAGATTTTTAAAGAGACTCAGCATTTTTAAACATGGTTTTAATTGTTCTATAACATGCTAAACTATAGTAATGATTGTTCTGTAACATACAACAGGTCTTTGCATTTCAAATTCATTGGGTACCTATGAAGTATAAAATATAATCCCTGTTCATAAGTAACTCATTGTCTAGTGGTAGGGGGTTTGAGATGGGCATGAAGATGTACTAGTATAAGGTAGAAGCTATTGCCACAATAGATTAGTTCATCCTTGAATATTCACTTATGTCACTGGAAGTGACTGACTGGTGTGCTGGTTTCATATGCCTCCCATAAGATATAGTGACCTAAAAAAGTCCATCTCCACTAATAGAGTATGCTTCCTTTC